GTATGTGAACACATTTGGGACTAACAGGGTTTACTAGAATCCCACCACTCTACCACAGAGTCACCGCAGTAGACGTTAGATAAGCGCTGTTGCTCCGCGGCACTTGTATTTAAACAGCGTGGCAGGTGTTGATTCAGACGCTTTCGGCATGTTGTCACGTCTAAGTAGGCGTATTTTGTGGAGCGATACTATCGACAATGGGCCAATTCTAATTTAGCACCCCGAATTAGTTTAGGACATTTGCGCGATCCCAAACTAGGATTGTGCAGCGACAACTGCTCCAATCCTCTGCATGCAACTTGGATGAAATCCTATGTAGATGAATTTTTGTAGATTGTGGTAAATTCAGTACACAATGTTGAGCAAATACACTATTGCATTTTCAGATTGATCTGGACACAATTGATGTGAGCAATCTAAATCGACAGTTCTTGTTTCGTAAGCAGCATGTTGGCAAATCAAAGGCAGTAGTAAGTGTTGTAGTTTTTTAATCCGCAGCATACAGATAATTCCCTACTGACGTTCTAAAGCGTTATAACATGCCATAATGCATAAACTTAAAGAAAAACAATACTCTAGGATTAATGCATATTTTTCAATTATAATAAATTTAAATTATGCTACATAGAAAAATGTTTGGTTCAATATTCACCAGAAATATTTAAAAAAATGGTTTTAAAACTGTCAATGATTTTTTGCTTGCAAAACCAAAGGTGCTACTGTTAGTTCATCATATAGCGATGTTTTACTATGCAACTTTTTAGGTGCAGGCTACAGAGCAAGGGCATGTATTATTTATTAACTTAAGAAAAGAAGGATTGCATTATCTTAAAATTAATTAACCTGCTGTTACCTCTCTTTACTGTTAGGTTGCAAGAGAGAGTGTACAGGCGTTGAACCCAGATGCAAAGATAATCGCACATCACAGTAGCATATTCGAGTAAGTATAACAATGTTACGCATAACCTCATATACACTAAACATAAATGCACAGACATCTAGTTTATGCTGATAGTACTAATTCAATTTAATGTATTTTAATTATAACATTGTTAATAAACTTTTTGCAGAAAAACGTATGGAAGAGATTTCTTCAAGAAATTTAATGTGGTGCTCAATGCACTTGACAATAGAGGTTTGTATTTTTTATATAAGTTTAAAATAATTCTGTCTTATAGTTACGAGGACATATGATGTGATGTCGCGTAAAATATTTGTAATTATCTCTCACGAGGATTATATTTCAAAGAGAGATATCCTTTATGAGTTGTAAACAAATTTCAAGATATTAAGCAGAACCTTCTTGTAAAACTATTAATATTACTTAATATTCATTGAAAACCAAACTGTTGTGACATTTTTCCCAGCATAGCCACGTAGTTACAGGGTATATGACCTGTCAGTATGTGTCAACAGCGTGCGACCAGGCTGATAATGTAAGTGTGGGGATTTTGCAGCTGCCAGGAACCATGTGAATCGGATGTGCCTGAACGTGGATGTACCACTGGTAGAGAGTGGTACCGCTGGCTACCTAGGCCAGGTCACGGTCATCAAGAAGGTACGAAATTATCTCTCGCTCGTTAGCGTCTCGTTTATATCTGTGCTATTCTCCCCCCAGTAGCAGCTGTGCAGCTATGCGCTACCAGGGATGACTAGTGACAGATTCTCTGTCATTATTCACCCATGACGCCATTAACTGTAACAGGTTAAAGGCGAATGACGTTGTAGTAAATACAGAAAAATCCTGAGTCATACCTCTCGCCCTCGTTTTTCTCTTTCTATCTCCCTTTCTCTCCCCCTTTCTCTATCTCGCTCCCCTCTCTTTCTTGCTCTCTATCCTTGTCTTTATCTATCTCGCTCGCCCCTTTTCTTTCTTTCTCTTTGTCTCTCTCTGTCTCTCAATGACATAGTGCGATTGTGTTTGCTTTGTAGGGCATAACTGAATGCTATGAATGCCAGCCAAAAGCAACCCAAAAGACCTATCCAGGATGCACAATCAGAAACACACCATCTGAACCAATACATTGCATTGTATGGGCTAAACACTTATTCAAGTAAGTTCAACTATGAAGTGCATATGTAGTTAAGTTGTTGTTAAATGTACAAATAGTAAAATAGTACTAAAAGTAAAAAAATAACTCTAAAGTAAAATGGAAAAGGCAAATGATGCGTTTGTGAGGGCTGTATGTATGCATATATGGTGGTTGCCTATATAGGGCATAATAATGCAAAACTGAACACAAATAACTAAACGTTATTGTTTTTATCTCAGGCAAGTATTCCTTATATACATGTATCTTGAATCTTGGTCGTCATATGTCATATTGCACATATTTGGAAAATTGGACATTCGGGAGTATGCAATTCATGTCATTTGGATAAACCCATTCTCTATGCATTGGTACATCTTGTAGTAAATTTAACGATCCTACATGTTACGTAAATTTCGTTAAATCTGTACGAATTTATTAGATATTGAGCTTTTGTGTTTGCATAGTTCTATAGTCATTCTAAGGTGACTAGCATTTGAGGCCCTGCATCAATTCATCATCTTGATTTTGTAGTCAGTTGTTTGGAGAGGAAGATCCAGACCAGGATGTATCTCCCGATACGGCAGACCCAGAGGCAGCAGGTGAGCTGACAGGACGTCTTTCTTATCACATCCCTTACAATTGACTCATAGCTATCCATTCATCTTGCTCCTACCTATTAGTTTTTCTTTTTTCTCTGCCCAACTCTCTTTCTACCCCATCATGATCAACACAAGGTACAATATAAATAAATAATAATAAATAAATAATATATAAGCAATCATAATATAAAAATATCAATAAACCGTGATACTGCACTGATGTTAGCAATCTTGCGAAACATGCTCGGCGGATTTGCACGAGTGTACATTTTCCACGAATAAGAAAAGTGTTTGGAAATCTTTGCTTTGTAACACAAAGCAGTGTCATTGTCATCTTGCATTTCAGGTGATGCTGGCCAGGAGGCGCTAGCAAGCGATGGTGTGACGGGCGGAGTCGAGAGGTCTTCCACTAGAGAATGGGCCAAGAGTTGTGACTGGGATCCGGTGAAACTGTTTAACAAGGTGGGCAATTACCTAAGGAAGTAACCCACTCACTGTATTACACATCTATTTTGTTTGACTCAGCTATAGTTTAATAGGTTATTTAGTTGCGACTAGCCTCAGCTGCCTCACTGTGTTTTTAGCTCATCTGACATAGTCAGATGTAGCTTGTAGAATCGCATGATCGTCCGTCCGTCCGAGCGTCCGAGCGTCCGTCCGTCCGTCCGTCAACAGTTGGGCAAGAGGATCTTAAGCCGTCGAAGTACGGACGATATTCGGGACGGTGGGGGGTAATCCGAAAACGAGTTGGGATGTCGACGCTGGGGTCAAAGGTCAAAGGTCAAGAGGTGTAAAAGAAGGGGGAATTCACTCCTTAACTTAAGTATAGGGAGAAATTGCAGATTGCCGGCACAAATCTAACGGCTCGACCTAGGCGTCGTGTAGTCGGTGTATAGATCATGTGTAGGAAAGCATCACTGTGCCAAATTGGAGGTTCACAAGGGTCAAAGGTCAATGGGGGCCACAGGAGCCGTTTTAGACATTTTCTGAGGACATGGTCTGAACGGAGGCATGGAACTTTTTTTGTAGTTCACGCGGTGACTAGCATTTTATGGCTTTATTGTGAACAGGACATGAAAATATGCTTATCATGACATGCCGAAGAGTAAGTGATCGGATACCTTTTGACTCAAGAGGAGGCGATTATAACATTGATTTGTTCACTGTTAACAAAGCGATGACAATGTTTTGCTGTTATTAGAGACCCATACCTTCGTCATGTGAGGCCTACAGTTGCACAGTTTATTTGCAAAGGCAATGTTTTGTTGGACAATAGTTTAGCCCTTAATCATTATGATTTTCTAAGCTCTGTCTATAGCCCCCTGCCCCTGGGCACTGGAAGCTTGAATGATTGAATCAAGTGAATGCTCGCATGAGGCAAAAAAACGGGCACAGCTTCTAATCATAATGTTGCCTCGCCAACTGCCATGCAGTTGTTAACTCACAGCTGAGCGAATTATCGCCTGCCTGATATCCTTCTTCGGATTTTAGCCTGTACCTACTGTCACGGATTCAGGAATGAGGGCAGTTGCCATCTTTTGATTATTTCGATTACACTTGCACGCCGCCATCTCGCGGAACTAATAGGCCTAGTTTAAATTAGTTTATTCTATGGTCAACTTTGTTTTAAACGAAAGTAAATACTAGTACTATAATATATAATTATTTACTTTCTTCTTAAATCTTAACGATATATCATGTCGCTATCGGCACTGTTTGCGTATCCATTATACGTTATGCACGATAAGTGTTACCATAGAAATATTAGAGACACTACATTATGTGATTTCTTAACTAGTTTCACTCAGGGCATCTAGGACAAGTATTATTGAGGGCGGCAGTAAAAGAAATCATAGTGGAGTTTTAAATTTTTTATATAATTAAGAGAGAGGAGAGAGAAGTCTAAGATAGTAGAGGAAGAGAGTAGTACATTAGACAGGGGACAGGAAAACGCGTGATACCGTTGTGTGTGCGAGCGGGAAACGCGGTACAATTTAGTTGTGCGAGATGGTGCTGCAGAGGATGGAGGTGGGAGGAGGGGGAGGGAGGTCGAAGAGGGGAGGGAGATGCGGAGAGTAGGGGGCGTGGTAGTGAGAGGCAAGGGGAGTGAAGTGGGAGGCAGGGGGAGGGAGGGAGGGAGCGATGGGATGCAGTGGGGAGGGAGGTGGGGAGAAAGGACTCCCGCCCCTCTAATTATACTTGGAGCTCATGCTCATATGTTGACATCTTTTATAGATAGATAAAAATAGATAGACTGTGATCGTATGACACAAATTCGAAGGCAGCATATTTAATAAATAACAAGAATCGGCATGGGGGGGAGATAGTGAGCGTGTCCTAACAATGATGTGTACGCAACTGCGTATCTGCATATCTGCGCCTAACAAATGTGTCACTACGCACGACTGAAATTGTACGTTCATAACCGTAGCAACAGACCCCAGATGAGCCCAGACGCTCTGCGGCTCTTGTTATATTAAAAACATAATTGAAAATTGTATTGTAGAGCCACTAAAACTTCACACGGTCATCGTTGTTTTATCGGTAGGAATAGTGCATTGAATGTGGCTGAATGTGGTTGTAATTTACTATGTACTTGTGTAATCACGAAGCAAAAGGAGCATCTGGTAAGTATTCAAACACATTTTCATAAGTAGTTGTGCAGTGATGCCAGGTACCACAGCAATGTAGACAGCGAAGATATTATAATAACTTTTACTCGATAGCTACTACACTGAGTTTACCATTATCTTCATTCATAGTTGTTTAGAGATGACATCAAGTACTTGCTGAGTATGGCCAACTTATGGCAACATAGACGACCACCAACCCCTTTAGACTGGGGCAACCTTCCTGACTCTGGTAAGCGTCTGTAGATTGTTAGTTATAACACAATTATTGGATTTAGAGAAAACTGTTTACTAGTGACACTAGCAATTCGAAAAGGATATTGTGTGTTGTGGGTGTGTGTAACTGTGTATGCACATGCATCAGTGTGTACGTGGGAGTATGCTTGCCATTACGTGTATGCGTGCATGCGTGCGTGCGTACATGCATGAGTGTGTGCATGTAAGTATGCTTGCCCGTAGGCTTGCCCATACGTGTGTGCGTGCGTGTGTACATGCAGATTGGCAGACGGGCAGATAGACAGCCAGACAGACAGATAGATTTATAGAATATATTACAATACACAAATACATACGATATACGTGCACATTGCCACGGTTACAGTGCCGGGAAGCAGCACGTCCGCGCAGGACAGTGATCTCTTGGAGGACCAGCGGATGTGGAGTGCGAAGATGTGCGGACAGATGTTTGGCCGCTCAGTCAACACTCTGAAGGAGCGGTTAAAGACGAAGGTAGCAGAGGATAAGGAACATGGCTATCTCATCTGGGATAAGGTATGTTGTTAGCCAGTCAGGGTTTTGGTTTATATTTTTCTGCGGCAATCGGGAGTGTGGTCTTGTATTATATTAAAATTATAATCAGTAATTTGTAAACACTGCAGTATAGTTGGAAGGGCATCATGGCAAATATTTCCTTTCCTTCAAATGTCACCATGTCAACTTTCTTTTTATCAGCATTTTATGTTGGACATGGAGGGATAAATACATAACATGAGAAGGGGACGAGGGCGAAAAGGATAGGATACCCACACATTTTAATTCCTATGGATATCAGCTGATATACCAGATACTACGGCAAATAATGAGGACAACCACTGCCCTTTCTGTTGGTTTCATGGTGAAATTTGAGCCCTGATTGCTAAGCTACTTTCACATGAACTTACATGTCGTCTGTGCTTTGTGCCATATCCAGGGCATGTCAATTTTTATAGAGGTTGTATTCTAACAAAGTAGTTTTTCAGTTAAGATGTATGATATATATTAAAGATAAAAGAGAGTAGTGGTATTTAAAGTAAATGTATATTAATTAATAACAATATATAATACAATATCGTGCAGCACAGTGCAGTGCACTACAGTGCAGTATAGTACAATACAATAAAAGGCAATGCAGTCAATACAAGTCCACAGAGTAGGTCAGCAAAGCCATTACAACATGTGTCGATCTTGTGAAAAGGCAAGCCTGCGCTGTTAGTATTACTATGTTGATGACGTGTTTCACAATGTGGAGTGTGTTTCACGCACGTCTGTGTTCACAGGATGATGATCCATCTCTGGATTTTGTGACCGCAGCAGCTGGAATTCGGAGTCACATTTTCGGAATAGCTCAGAAGACACGGTTCGATGTCCGATGTAAGTTTTTGCGGAATCTTTTTTTGCAAGGATACCAACCAGCAGTTATATAATATGCTTCTTGTCTATATCAAAATGCCAGTTGTTCCTAACCTTTATGAGCGCAATATGATTCTACACCGTTCTTCCCATAGAGCACCGGAGTGTGATATCACAGTGGCATGACAATAAACCCACTGGTTCTAAACAATCATTGGCTCTGTAACATTAAGTATGTGGGGCCATGTATTATTCACACACACAGAATTTCCCCACACTACAGTACACGAGTGTGTGCGCTGCAGACAGATGTAAAGCATCGGTAGCAAGTCGATCTTACAACATTGATTTCATCATCAAAATGCCTAGAAAAAACATATCTGCATACCTTATCAACTTGATCCATCGTTGCTTTTCACTTCCATGCTTTGGAAATCTATAAAAACTGCAATTATGACTCTCAGAATGATGGTTACAATCGAGTACAAAACAACACCATTTTCACGCAGTTAATGCTACGGACTACGGAGCCAGTGATTATTTAGAAACAGTGGATTCGTTGTCATGCCACCGTGACGTCATCACTTTGGAGCTCTATTGCTTCGAATACTTAAATTGTTACGTAAAAGAATTTGTTTGAATCAGTTGCTGCCACCGTTAGCCAATAGTGTCAAAATATGACAACCTGCATAAAAAGCTTAATACTAGGCCGCGTTTATGTCACGTCCTGAAATTCGAGCTGTAAAGTTTTCTATTATTGTATCTATAATGAGTCATCATTTGTAACAATAGTGCAGTAATAATCATTTTACTTGAGTAATTACACGTGTTAATTCTAATGCAATAGTAGTATAAGTATAGTATAGTATATAGTAGTAGTAATATATATAATAGTGTGAATAGTAATGGTAATTCTAATAGTAATGTACAAGTTACTTCTAAACGTCCTCTGACGAATGTCTTTCGTTTCGCTGCAGCTATGGCGGGCAACATCATTCCCGCGATCGCGACGACGAACGCGGTCATCGCCGGCCTCATAGTCATGGAGCTGCTCAAGGTGCTCTGCGGCAACTACAGCAAGTGCAAAACTGTGAGTTAGCTTACGACTCCCGGGGGGGGGGGTACGGCTGCCTAGCAGTGTGCACTGTCACAGGGTTTCTTCCGAGGGAAAATTTGACAAAGGAGGTAATGGTCAGTTTGGGAAAACAACGTGCATGATGGATTCAAAGGCGTGCTTTGAAAAGTGTAGACCCCACGTCACATAACTCAACTAGACAGAGGGCACTCACGGAGAGTGCATAGCTCCGCGAGCATGTAACATGTATGTGCTCGCTGGTGGCGGCTGCTGACTGACTCGCCTGCTGCTGACTCGCTGCTCACTGGTGGCTGCTGCTGACTCGCCACTCGCTGACTCGACGCGCTATCGATTCGCCGCTCACTG